AAAACCGAGTCATTTAGAATAACGTTGATTTGTGTAAGATAGACATATCGAAATCGGTCAAACTTTAATTGTAAATTTGTTATTTTATTACGATAAATCCAGATAAAATTTCTAAATGATTACATTTATTTAAATTTTATATTAAGATAATATATTATTGTAGATATTTATCTCTTAGATTTAAGGAGAATGAAAGCGTTTTTAAGAAGCTTTTTTCTATTTTTTTTATTTTGATTTTCAAGAAAACGTTTTTTACATTTATTAATAATTAAATATATTAATTAAATAATATGTTAAATTAACTTTTTATTGTTTCGAAAATGAGAATAAAAACAACTAGATGCATATATTCACACTAGAAGCTTGTATTTTTGCTATTATTTATTACTTTTAAATATTATATATATATATATATATATATATATATATATATATATATATATTATTGGGTGGTGGAATTAGAAAATGAATTGAATAGAAGGTTGGGTAGAAATGTAGGAGCAAAAGTCAAAGGTGTGTATTCACAACATGGTAATCTTCCAAATCCAAATGGGAAAACGTTAACCATTTTAGATGGTTTCCACAACCGCACATTCCTCACGGATATGGTCCCATTTTCTAGTATTATGTGTTTGCTATATACATATACGATATGGACGGATCTAATACAGTGGTTATGGTGGCATGTGTCATCGTATTATTCGTTCGTCAAAAGTTAAAAAAAATTGGGTTTGTGAAATGTGCAACCATATTAATTTGTTGTGTATTACCGTATATATTTTGAAACTACAATTAGAGGTGTTCAAAAAAACCGTTGGATCGTTCAAACCGGCCAAACCAAGTCAAACCGGACCGTTTTTGGCGGTTTGAGCGGTATGACGGTTCGGTTTGGTTTGGAAAATAGTAAAACCGGGCGGTCTGCAGTTTGGAACCTTATTTGGGCGGTTTGGACCAAACCGACCGCCAAATACATATATGTATTTATTATTTATTTATCTATTTTAATATTATCAAATCCAACTTTTTTAATTTATTAGCTATGACCCAAATATATCCCTAAGCCTAGTATCTAACATAATCAAAATCGACGACTAAAGCCATTAAACCATTGAACATATCGACACATTTGATATTGACGGTCTCCAAATTTTGAAATCCCTCAATAACTCCATCAATCTATTGATCTTTTTAATTCATGGTTTGATTTTGGAGCACATCATCAAGACATCAACCAAGTTATTCAACCAACTTAGATTTGGCTTCTATTTTGTTTGGTCAAGAACTCAAGACTCAAGAATTGAACCACTGAAAGTTGTGAAGTCGTGGATTTTATTACTCAATACTCATAGTAGAGTTGTAACTTTGTTAATTTGTTTGTTTTCTAATATGTTATATATTTATTTGTTTCTACTTTGGATTGCTTCGACTTTGTACTCAAGAGCTGCTTAATTATTACATTTATTTGTTTGAATATTTTATTTTGTTAAAATGGATATTTAATCTAAAATTCTAAATTATATATGTTTTTTAAATTTAATATTTAAAGTCCATTAAAGGCCCAAACCGCCTAAACCGGTCAGACCATACCGTCTTTTCGTGGTCTGATTTGACCGGTCTGGGCACTTGATGTCAAACCGCTCGGTTTGAAAATTTTATAAACCCCCATTACGGTTTGGTTTGTGGTTTGAGGGGTTAAACCGCCTAAACCAGATCGCGAACACCCCTAACTACAATGAAAACAAGTTTTATTTGGTAGAGTTGGTTTTCAAGACTTTTATTCTACCTCAGACTCAAGTTCGAATCTTGTTAGTGTCATTTTCTTAGTCAAATGGTGCCACCGTCTGAAAAAAAATTCAATATATTTGTTTATTATAGTCAAACAGTGTCATCGTTTGAAAAAAATTCCCTATATTTTTTTTTCTTATAGTCAAATAGCGCCACCATTTGAAAATAAAAATTGGATCCATCCCTGATATACGAAACATTATTACATATGATCCAAGATTATTATATTATCAGATTATATATAAATAATGGATTTTTTGTTTTTTTAGCTAGAAATAATGGTTTGTATTTGATACTCCCTCTATATAGATAAGAACACAAGAACGACCAAATTACATTAATTTTATGCTTAACTCAAGTGTAAAATCACATGTAATAATGCACCACGTAGGTCGTAGGCCAAGTCCCATCTGCACCCATGTGTTGACCGTAATGCATGTCATTTCAATGCGAAATCAACTCTGATTTGGTCTTTCTCGTGTTCACTCGTCAATCAATCTTAATTAAAGATCAACAGTAATAAGATGCACTAGATCAATTATCGTGAGAATTACAGTTTATGGTAAATGAGTGATATTAAAAGTGATCAAAGATCCAAATCACTTATTATGCTTCCCACTTTAACTTTTAGGTGGCGTTTGTTTTTTAAGAGGTGTTGAAGTCTGAATTCACTTCTGATTTTTAAGAGGTTGTGCTGAAGTCTAAGATCTGAACCAGTCAGACTATTTGTTTTTTGCGTCTGAAATCTGAAGTTTGAAGATGAGAGATCAAGAGGTGATATTGATCGACGGTTGACAAAGTTGAGAGATGAGAGATCGAGACAGAAGAGTTGATCTAGAGAAATCGAGCCCAAAGAGATCAGAGTAAGTAGGCGACGATTTGAAATAAGAGGTAATAAGAGGTTTTGCAACCACTTAAAAAAAAACAAACACACTGAATCCTCTTATGTCTGACCAATTCAGACTTAAGAGGACATTACGAGCTTTTTTATTAAAAACAAACAGCCCCTTATTCTCAGACAATATTTCGTCTGTGTATGTATTGTCCTAAAATATAGACTCAATGATTCAGATATCTTTTTCATGCTCTTAACATTATTAAGCCAAATTGCCAAATAATTCAGGAGTATCATAAAATTGATTACTATAATATTTTATAACTATAACTGGAATCAAATAATTAATTACAAATAAATGATTATAATTAACGACGACTTTATAAAAAACGTTATTATTGCAATTTCTAATCCAAAATCCAATTATTTTAATCACAAAAGAAGTAGCAAAATGAAATATTACGAACAAGAGAATTAAAGCATGCAACTTAACACGTTAAACGTGTTACAACTTACAAGAATAAGTTGTTGACTTAGCAAAAAGTTAAAATAGAAATAGAATGTTCTACAAAGCAACACCGCGTTTTGGAAATAAATGCCAACTCATTATACTTTTCAACTCATACTAAGTTTCTTAGAAACCACTCCTCCTAATCCAATTTATTTATTTTAATATTAATAAAGAAATCTTGAAATACATTTATTCAAACTCTAAGTAAAACAAAAGTTACGAACTGGTTCTAGATGGTTTTTGTTTTCGGTTAACCGTAGGTGTTTGGGTCAGTTTACATGAATCTAGATTTATTCCTATGCTCCTAGAAAGCAGGAAAATCTTCAATGACTTTGTAGGACTCGAACATGTAACCTCAAAGGAAAATCCCTAAAAGTCCAAGACTTATTGTCATTTGATTAATACAAGAAGGATTGGTCGTACATAGTTAATGATCTTTAATGTAGATATGGATTTTGTTGAAAGTGTAATTGATGATAAATAAAAGGGTATTTTTGTATTTTATTTCATCAATCTATTGAATGTAATAACCTATTTGTCCATTAATTAAGGGTTGTTAAACGAGTAAATGTGTAATTTGGTAAGAAGTTCAGTCTGGGGTGTAAAGATCGTATCTTACTCTCGTGCAATACTATTAGTCCAACAAAGTGTATGTAAACAATCTCACATCATACGGGGTAAGAGGTAAGAGTCCCTCGAGTGTTTGTTTTTTACATTGGGGTTGCACACTACCTGTTTACCGTCTCTTTTTAGGTATGAGATGCTTCCCTAGTCAAAGAATTTGCTACTTACTAAAACCCTTTTACCGATCTATGATTCTAACTTGATAGGTTAAGGAGAACTTTTAAGCACCGTTTAGGCGTTTACCAAACGCTTATCTAGTTAAGTACTTACCTGTAAAATTCAACATTATCGTTTACTCAAAAGGTAAGATTTTAGTCTTTGTCATATTCATTCTGTAAGGTAATGTGTTGTAATACCCACTTATCAAAGTAAGCATTTGATAAACGACCTCTTTACTTGGTTAGTGACTAGTGCTCACCAATATTTCACTTTTACTCGATTATAACTTACACAATTCTATTACTAAACAATTTCTTATTTTTAAATAACAATTAAGGATGATAATTGTTAGTTGCTTAATGAGCTTAAGGGGCTTACAACTTATTCGATCAGATATACACGACTGCTTAACGTTGATTTAATGATATAAAAAATGGGTTGTTCAGTAAGCTTCTAAAGGGAACTTTATTCAGAAAGTCAAGTTTTTTTCGTTCCAAACATACCCTTCCAATTAAAAAAAACACATTCATTCTATTTATAAGAAAAAAAACCCTCCAAAACAAAACCCCTAAATAAAACTGACTTTAAAGTAATAAAAAAAAACCTAAAATCAACCAAATTGTTCTCAAATCGTATACAATCCAACCCACTTTCCGCCAACGAAATCCCTCCCCACATATGCAACATCGTCATCATCCCCGTACCATCGATCTCCAACTTTTTTATCTGTTCCCTTTTTATTTTTCGATTCTACCTGTTTTTTTTCAACAATCAGATAAAAATAAATATAAACAGATAAAAAAGAGACCTCTAGAAAAAGCGAAAAATTTCATTTTAAATACTTTATAATAAAATAAAGAAAAAGCAAGCAATGTTATTGGATAATTTTGCCAATTAAATTTCTACCGCCGTAGTTTCTTGAATATTTCCGAAAGAAGTCCACTAAAAAACAAACCATGAGTCTTGTTTTGTTAAAATTTGTGGTTGGGCCCCACCCACTTGTTTTTCTAATACTTTCTAGAACCCCCTCCTCCTTCCTTCGTCTTCTCCCCAAAATTCCTACTTCTTCTGCGTTCTATAAAGCATCTTTCAAGTGCTTTCGTGCACGAACCCTCATAAATCCTTTATCAAATTATTATACACTTATTTCATCATCATCGTCCTCGGTAAACGTCGCCGTCGGCAGCCGGAAACAGACTTGTCGGAGAAGTTATGTTCGTGTCATTTCTTAGAATTCAACAACTACACGACGACGACGGTGCTCATGGAAGAAACTAAAAAGTCTTCATCAGATAACGCCACCGTGAACCTTTCGAATTACGATCTGGCTCGATCTCGTTTGTTTCCTTCTGGATTTTATTGCTGGGACTGGGAATTCCTCACCGCTTTGTTGCTGTTTAGTTGTTGATTTTGTTTGATTTTAGTGGTTGATTAAGGTAGATTTAGGATTTTAGGGGAGATTTTTAGAGCGATTTGTGGTAGGTGAGATTGGAAAAAAGGGAGAGAAAATGTCGCATCGGTCGGTTCCGGCACCTTTTCTGACTAAGACGTATCAGTTGGTGGATGATCCGGCGACTGACGATGTGATTTCGTGGAACGATGGTGGTAATACGTTCATCGTTTGGAAAACTGCTGATTTTGCTAGGGATTTGCTTCCGAATTCGTTCAAACACAACAATTTCTCCAGCTTCGTTCGTCAGCTTAACACTTATGTATGTTCTCTCCTTGCCTTTATCTATTTTTGTAATTGAATTCCTTCATTCATAGCTTCATCAATCATCATGCATCTATCAATCTGATCGTAGAGCAGAGTTTATTCATAGCTCCACTCTTATGAGAATCGTTTCCTCCATGGAAATAGGTAGGATCAACATCAAATCCTCGAATAAAACCACTGTTTACACCATTCATATTTGTTTTGTTCTCTATGGTTTTTGATTTTTTTGTAAATTATGGATGAATATTATGTGGTCAGATATTTTTAACCATTTTTTAAAAAGGAATAACATTCTTCAAAATAGAAAAAATATGTGGGTGAATTTTTTGAGTCCTTCAAAAACTAAGACTAGAATGGTACTTGATTAATACAGCGAGATACAACTTGATTTTAATATTTTGTTTTATTTTTTTATCTCAGTCGATGTTATGATATGGTTTTATGTGATTTTGAAATGCGATAGTGTTTTATTTTTAAATAAAATATAAATTTGAAGATATCATAAAATTTTGATAAAAATATATCGATATTAGTATCAAATTAACTATTTAAATTTTTTTATTTTTTGTTTAATTTTTTTAATTTTAATTTAATTTAGGCTCAATAACAAAGTAATTTATATTTGGTTTAATAATATAATTTTTTATAAAGATAATAATTAATTATTTTGTTAGAACTTGATAATTATCTTTTTTTTAGATTTTAAAATAAAATATTTATCCTTTATTTGACTAGTTTATCCGTAGTTAGTTACACGAATTCAAACATGGAGCTTTAATAAGTTGTATTTACACACAATTTAATTGTAATCTTGAATTTTAAGTAATATACATCAATAAACAGTATTTCATGCATAAAAAATGGTTTGTAAGAGTTTTTCTCAAATGCTTTATAATATAGTATAGATATGTATCTCCAACCGAACATTAAAATTAAATGGAGAAAAAAAAAAGAATATATATTATATTATTGAATATTTTAGTAATATAATTAATGTTAAAATATTTAAAATAGAGAATCCATTGCGTTTTAATGAATAAAATCTTATGTTGTAAGTAAATGATAATGTTGAATTTTACTGGTTAATATTTAATAAGTGTTTAAATATACGACCCCTTGATTTACGAATTGATATTTGATTTGCCCATCATAACCCCAATAATATGGAACCATTATAGTTTCCAGTAGGACTGGGCACCGGATACCACCTAAAAAACAAGTAGCGAAAGATGTATCGGGCCTGTTTTAGTGGGTCCCCTGCAACAACTAAATCGAAAAACAATCGAAGGATCTCGATTTCCACAGATTCTCTTGTCATCCCAAATAAGTTATCTTGACTTGCATGCCTAATCTGCCCAATTGCTTCATTTTTTTATCCCACCAAATTTATTTTATGTTCTCACACGTGAAAGTGATGTTTTTTTTAATTAAATATAAATTATTTTATGAGATAGTTTGTCAAACATAGTTTAAATTACTCAACACAAGTGTCTTTGTGGAAAATTATTATGTGGGTATGGACGTGCAAAGTTCGAAAAGATTTGGTTTAGTGTTATGCATGTTAAAGATGAGTTTTTGGTCTTCTTAGGATAGGTTTGTGTAGACTTGACCACTAATTACGTCTATATGGACGTGTGAAGATGAAAAAGATTACTTGAAATTGGGAAGAAACATGGCGTATAAAAAGAACTATTCTTAATATTCTATTCATAATTGTGTTTGTCTTCTCTTAGGTGAAAAAGAACAAATTTAATGATGATTAATGTTTATGTTTCTATATAGGGGTTTCGGAAAACTGTGCCGGACAAATGGGAGTTTGCAAATGATAACTTTAAGCGTGGGGAGAGAGCGCTTTTGATTGAGATTCGTCGTCGGAAAACTGTGACATCATCCCAAGCTCATGCAAACGGGAAGCCAACCAGCGGCGATGGTGGTCCAGCATCATCACCAACTAGTTCAGGCGACGACCTGGGATCCAGCTCAACCTCTTCGCCGGATTCAAAGAATCCAGGGTCGGTGGACACTCCGACGGTTGAGAAATTGGAAAACCTGTCGGACGAAAACGAGAAACTGAAGAAGGATAAGCAGATGTTGACGTCAGAACTTGCACAGATGAAGAAGCAGTGCAACGACCTCGTGGCGTTTCTGACCCAGAACGTGAAGGTGGCACCGGATCAAATTAACCGCATCTTGGGTGGAGACGGTGGGGTTGGTGAGATAGTGATGGCCGACGAGGAGGATGATAATGATGAAGAAGAAAAGGGGGAATGTTTCAAGTTGTTTGGGGTGTTTTTGAAAGAAGATAAGAAAAAGAGGGGTCGAAATGAAAACAACATTTCTTTTGGGGCCCAAAGGAAAGAGATGAAGATGGATGATGCTTCTAGGATGAATCCATATTCTACAACTGGACAGTCAACCAACGTGTGCAACTAACGAATAGAAGCATGCCACGTGGTTGACGGGTCCTAGTTTTAAAAATCCAATATTACAAATGTAAGGTATTCATACATAAAGTCGTATGTTATATTTATGTATTTTTGGCATTTTATCTATTTTTCTTTATGTTTCTATTAATATTATAAATAGTGTCGAAAATAAATCTTGTACGTGGGAATTCTCAGAACTGTTAGTGACAGTGGTTGAAACATATATATTGTCGTTATAGATGTTTTGTTTTTTTAATTTTTAAGGCTAATCATCGTTTCTAATAGCATAAAATTCATGTTCGTTTCAAATAAAAATCTTTTTAAATTCCAATCCTTTTTATGATGATTTTTAAAATTTAAATTATTTACATGTGATTCATATTTTAAAAATATAAAACAATTAAATACTAAACCTAATAAAAATAAACATATATATATATATATATATATATATATAATATTAATAAAAATATATATATAAATGGACGCACGAATGAATTGTGACACAACAAACGTCGACGAGGATGGCCACTAATCTTCACAATCATCATTTTGATGATTGTTTTTTTGACCGATTTAAAATAAAAACCTCAGCACTTTAGTGTGTTAAACGTTCATTTAAAAGATGTAAAAAGAATTTAATGGAATTTAAAATCATCGTCTTGTTAAATTTATAGATTCTTTTTAAGATAAGTTTATATTTTGAAATTTTAAGGTTAATAAAGATTGGAATTTATGAATATTCTTTGTTTATAAACTATGGCATGTTTGTTTGTTTTTAATTAATCACACCAACGTTATATTCATTCAGTTACTAAATAATAATATTTATTTTTTGAGTCAGAGTACAGATTTGGTTCCTAAATGAAATAATTATATGTACAGTTATAATAGTTAAAACCCCCTCATGTCAAAACATAATCTCTAGTTCAAATCTCCAGTAACCGCCATCTTTTTCACCTTCCCTTCTTTTACTTTCGTTGGTCATCCCCTCTATTTCTTATGGTTTTGACATCAATCTACAACATGGTAGTAAATTTCTGGGTCTTGGCATCAATTTACAATGATCCAGCGATCATTTGCATCGCTACCCTTTCATATACATTTAATTGAACTTTGAAAATCAAAAATCGAAAATCACCCTACGAAAATATTTCACAATAAAAACATTATACATACATAAACCTACAGATGCAACACACACTAGTATAATTGCCGTTGATCATCATCAAAAAGTAAACGATTTCCACTTCATATGGATGAAACTAGGGGTGAGCATAGGCGGGTACCCGCCCTTTTTGACAGGAACCGGAACCGGAACCGGAACCGGCGGTTCTTGAGATATTGGAACCGGAACCGGAACCGGTTAGAGCGGTTCTTAAATTTTTGGAACCGGAACCGGAACCGCCGGGAACCGGTTCCGGTTCCGGGTACCCGCTTCCTAAAATATTAAAATTTTGTTATTTAGAAATAAAAAATAAAACATTGCCAAAACACTAAATAAATAAGCAAGAATACAAATTATATAGAATAATGGTTACAAATATTGTTTAACGATTACAAACCATAATAGACTAATAGAAAATGTTCAAAGTTTAACGATTACATACTATAATGGTAAATGTTCAAAGTTTAACGATTACATACTATGAATCCAAGTGAATACACAATTTGAAAAAATACGAATCATTTTACATGAATAATTTAGATGAAGAATGAAGATGACGACATGCTTTCAAGATGTAAACCTAATATAAATTTGGTATAAAAAAAATAATAATTATTTTTTTATTGGAAAATACCGGGTACCCGGCGGGTAACGGTTCCGAAAAATTGAGAACCGGAACCGGAACCGTTCTCAATCGGTTCCGTATTTTAGGAACCGGAACCGGAACCACTCATATCGGTTTCGGTTCCGGAACCGGCGGTTCCAAGGCGGTTCCGGTTCCGTAACCGGGTACCCGGTTCCGCTGCTCACCCCTAGATGAAACATAAACAAAACAAAAAACAAAATTGGTATTGATTTCCAGTTTACAAAAACGTAAACAAGAACCAGATCTAGATCTAGATCCATCGAGATAATGTATACAGGAGAATAACCTACAAGATTCATGATCATCATATATACATGGGCAAAAGCTTAAAATATTCTTCAGTTAAAAGTACAAAAAAATCACAAACACAAAGAAGAAGATGTTGATGGTGGTATGAACTCAAGGCTAAAAAAACCTTATAAAGGAACGTTATACAACAAAACGCATGGGAAGTTGTTTCCATCTCCGCATCTATAATTTTATTCGAGGTTTCTACAAAGATACCACCCTTCTAGTCTGTTTCATCTTCTTCTGTTTGTGCACTCATGGGTGAGGGGAATAAGTGTTAGTCGTTGCATGTATGATGGTGATCTAGTCTCCTGAATCGAGAGAAGGAGTTGAGTTGAGGTCTGGTATGTGTGCTTGTGCGTTTGGGGAACCTGGTGTACCTGCCTCGATGGGGGCGGGGATTCCCTGCAAAACCGGGGACTGGGGATCCCCGAAAGTCAAAAAACCGGGGATAGGGACGCCCCGTCTTGTCCTCAGATATTAAATATATTATTTATAAAGAATTACATTTAATATCTTTTAGATTTGAAAATAGTATTTTGACATTTCTTCTTATATGCATATTTTTTGTGTTGTCTAACTTTTTTATATAAAAAAAAAGATTGGAAGCCAAAAGTGTTTGATCAAACAATTACATATGATGTTAGATTTTATTCACACATGAATATTTGATACCCTATAAAAACAAAATTTGAAAATATAATTTAAAGATGAACCATTATCGACCGAATGCGATGTTTAACATATTAACATCATATATTTATCATCAATGTTAAAGTATCATATATCCTTTTATTCGACTAAATTGTAAAATGGGTCAATAAGCCCATTTTAGTGGGCCTCAAATCAGCCCAATAACGGCCCAGGTACAGCGATCAAATGCCCCATCGTTCTTCCAGTTTGGGGTTTCCGACGGGAAGAAAGCGGTGATCATGGCTGCCGTTGCCGCTCGCCTCTGCCACTTTTCCTCTTCTTCGTTATCAAAATCCCCCTCCGATTCACTGTGAATACGTGGCTTCTTCTACTCCGCCTTATCATCACCACCGCAGTACAGATCTGATTTTAGATCTAGCATCGACCGTCGCTTACCATCACTCCTTGCAGCCTCCATTCTCTCCGGTACGCTTCCATTTCTGAACTTTATACCGCCATTCCTGGAATTCCTGTTATCTTCTACCAATTGATGGTTAATCGATTTTGAGATTCATTTTAATGAACTGATTCCTAATTGCAAGTTCATGTTAATTTGAGTTTTTTAGCTTTCTCTCTAGTATTTTTGTATCATCGACGTTCCTGATTGCAATAAGGAAGACAATTTTGTGCCTAGGTGATTAAGCGTAAAAGATGTAGGAATTCAGGATCCACATTGTACTCTTCATCTTGCATCCCTTTTGTTACCACAATTTTGTAGCTATGAATTGGAATGATGAACAGCCGTTACTTGTTAATGAACATCGTCAAATCCAATATATCAGATCTTCAAGTTCATGTTTCTATATGATTTGTAACTGCAAAATGTTATTATGTTCTGAATTTTAGAAACCAAACAGATATAGGATTAAATCCAAATTAGTTATAAGATGCTTTAGATGATTGTTTAGCTCTGGCTGTTGCTTAGCAATCTTTTGGATCATCAACAGGTATTCTTTGTTTTTAACAAATTACTAATCCCAAATCCATATTAAGCTCCAATGGGTAGGATCAGTTGTAAACCGGGCGACAAACGAGAGTGTGCCACGTGTCCAGACATTCACAAAATATTCATCATAAATAGTGTAAAAAGTCACGTTTATTATCATGGGTGACAATTTTGTACCAAATCAAATTGGTTGATATCACTTAGGGGTTGTTTGTTTATCTCTTAATAGTTCCATTAAGAAGCAGACTTTGAATCGTTAAGAGGTGAATCTTGTTTGGCAAGAAAAGAGTGTGCCTCTTAATGGTTCCATAACCCTCTGAATGATTTTGTATTATAGGCCTCTCTTATTTATTTGGCGCCTTAATTTCATTGTAAATAGTTATCAAACAATCATATTTCATTTTGAACTATATCATGAGAGTCTTTTAATCATTCTGCATCAAATAATTCGACAACTGTCAAACAGCCCCTTAGAGTTGGTTGGTAGTGCCATACCAAATATGCAAACGTGGTAGGTAGAAAGTATTTGAAGTTGGGTATCATGGTACCACCATGGTACTGTTTTATTAAATTATTTATTAGTTTTTGTATTTCTATGTGATGAATATCATAGATTGTAAATTTAACTAGCTTGTTTGGACATTTGAATGTTTGCAATATTTATTCATTGCAATTAAAAACATGTAAACATCACATGTGTTACTTGAAAACTCAAATTATCACTCAAACCTTTAAACAAAATGACAAATTTTCATATATGTAACTTGGTGTTAGTACAAAATTTGTACCAACATGTTCCAACCGAAAAAAGTTGGTATCTGTTAAGTTGGTTGGTACATGGTAAAAGATTTTGCAGGCCAATTATAATTGGTTGGTACATGGTATTGGTGAAAAGAAGTTGGCTTCGTACCAATTCCACCCCTATTCATTATTCATGATGAGTGGTTGGTAGGTGGTCAAGCTCTCATTCATCCCCCATTCGCAACATAAATGACGCAACAGAAATCAGGTTTGCAGTTGTAACTTGTGATGTTTGCGCTTATTGATGGATGGTAGAAATGCTATTGACTTTGATAGGTGTTGAGGACCATATAAAGATAGTTGATGTGCCATTTGTACCAAATAAATTTCATATTGGTAAAAAGTCAATTGAGACCAATAGCCAAGGATGTATGTCGATCATATGACACTGTTTTATATGTATTGTTTTACATATGAAACACAAAATGAATCAATACATGTCAAATGTATAGTGTTGTTTCATCTATAAAACATTCAATATTGTTTTGTATGTGAAAGACGTAGATACATTTTATATATAATATACACACACTCGCATACAAAAGCAGAACGTATGAAACGACTTGAATCATGAACTATAATAAAGCTTATTAAATGGTCGGGTTTGGTACCTCGGGCTTGTAACTTTTTTTGTGATTTTTATTACATGTATATGAATATATGAAGTTTAAATGAGAACCATGAATATTTTTTATTAAAGCCATATGATCAA